AAAAATATTTTCATTTTTTATGTCTTTTTTACTGAAAACATACATCTTACTTTTCTTGAATACAAACTTTTTGGAAATATAAGTTTTTTCACAGAAAATTTTTCAGCATGCACAAAACATGTTTATCAATAAACTTGATCGTCTTTTAGTTTCTCTGAGATAAGAAACCAAAGGCAGACAAATCTACTCTTAGAAATCAATTTCTAAAATTTTATCTTATGTGGAAATGACCTAAATACTGACCAAATTTTTATCTTTTAACTTAATTTAGCAAAACTCTAAAGTTTCAAGTTACCAAAAAAATTTTGGAAGCTGTTTTTCAAGTATATAAAACATAAAACATAATTATTGCACCCCAAAACTCTCTTCCATTTTTATCTATTTAAATCATTTGTGCCCAACAATTATGTTTAGATTACACATAGAAACTTCATGTGACATTAAAAGAAGTTAGTCATGATCTTAAGTTGTTTTATGTACATACCCCATAACATACAATTATTGTTAAAAAATTTTCCTCAAAACTTTCATCCTTTTCACATTTATTTAATTTACTTGTTCCCAATAATTATATTTAGATTGTCTATAAAACCCTCATGAGACATCAGATAAAATCAGCTATTGTTCTAAGTTATTTTTTTGTTGACAAATTTTGTAACAGAGAAAACATGTTTGTACCATATCTGATGTTAATAGTTCCGAAAACATGTTTATTTTAAGCAAACCAACAAATTAAAACAAGCTTTTATTTACCAAAGACCATTTTATATTATATTAAATAACTTTGTCTTTTAGAAGTTTCTGCATATTAACCAAAGACTGCATTCCATTGTGAGAGGTTTCATTTCACTAGCAGGGCCACGGACATCTCCCAATCTGGCGTGTTTCATTATTATTTTTTTCTTTAGAGAGGCTCTAAAGTATTCCTGATTTCATTTAGAAGCCTCAAAATATTAAAATGGGCTTCCCATTAGTTGTTTAATATTATAGCCAGCTTTTTCCAATTGTGTATGCAAATACACCAGTTTGAGTAAGCTGAAATTGCCACATTTGGGCCCTTTTCTGTCTGGAGTCTAAGGAATATATTGTGGCCATGTGGTGTTACAAAAGAAAGCCATCTTCTCCTTGGACATGGGCTTATAGTTGAAGTCAGCCCATTTAGTCAAGAAGCAGACCAGAGGGCTTTTCTTGGGGACAGATGGAGATCCCCCCTTTTCAGAAGTATAAACATACAGACACTCAGACACAGGTGGGATCCCAAACAGAACAGACAGGTACACCAACAGATCTGGGGTCATCTTGCTAGTCTCTTGTTAGTCATTGCCCAGACTCAGATGGGGATATCCCTCCAAGATTTCTCCTGCAAATGACAGGGAGTTCATGGCAGGCCTTGCCAAGGTGACTTACCCTACTCCAGCTTGAGCTCATTAACTCAACAGAAGCAAAAACAAACAAAGAAATCTAGAGCCTGTTTCCTTGCCACAAGAAAAATGCACCTAGAGCCAGTGGAGCTGGGTCAGATGGAAAATACTGGGGACAGTCCCTAGGGTGAATCACCTAGGCAGCTGCTGGACTGTTTCCCAGGAAACCACAGTCAGCTCAGGTCCATGGAGCCACGGGCAAAGAACCTCCTTGCTGGCCGAATTGTTACTGAACACAAACACGGGATATTTTACCCACCATGCAGTAGGGCCAATACCTGAAAAGTCAGGCTTGTGGCAAAGAAAGAAGTTTACTATTGAAAGGCAGCCAGATAAGGAGATGAAAGAACTCAGATCCACCTTCTCAAAGGGAAAAAAGTAGGGGTTTTTATCGGGGGTTTTAGGTAGGAGAGGGAGAGCATGTGCTGGGGATTTAGGTAGGGGGTTGGGGGCATGTGGCCTTGCTAATTGGTGCCATCCCACCAGCTTGCATTTGGCCTAATGAGGCTGAATCTTGATGTTTGGACCTTGACTTCCTGGGAAAGACAGCTTACTCATATACTAAGGAGGAACAAAAAGTCCTGGCTAGCTTTGAACAACAGTTGATTATATTGAATATGCACATCTACAGTTAGCAAAGCTTATCTTAAAGTTTTTGCTCTAGGGAAGATTTTTTAACTCCTTTGTTCTAGGTTTCAACTGAAGGTAAGGCAAAGCAAGGTAACTAATGATTTGCACAAGCATAGTCGGATTCATGCCTCTTCATAGGAAGCATGGTCACAAAATGGCGGTGTTACCATGATCTGAAGGTGGAGTTTTTAGCTCCTTGACGCCAAAAGGTAACTTGTCGAGCATTTGCACATGCCCAGTTGATGAGTTGGTGGTCTTAGCCAGCCTGAACTGGACAAGGGTTCTCAGTTCCTGAAAAACCACTTCATTACTCTGTTGATGAGATGGGGTCAGTTGAACTGGTTCTGGAAGGCCCATGGTTACAATACTATATTTGTCCTTTTATGATTGGCTTATTTCACTTTGCGTAATGTCTTCAAGGTTCATCCACATCGTAGCTCAGAATTTCCTTCCATTTTAAGGCTGAGTGATATTCCATTGTATGTATATTTGTAACCACAGGAACAGAAACACAATTTGCCACAGCAAAATATGCCTCTTTGGAATAAGGATTATTTTGAGCTATTGATTATTAAGAAACAGTAGACACAGGAAAAGCTGTGTAAACCTAGTGAAAGTTACCCTCTGTGAAAGACATTTACATTTTTAAGGGAAATCTCCATTCACAAGGGTGTCTCCTTCTCTGTGCCAAGAAGAGAATGATGACTCTACATCACAAGAAACTCTTATCAATGGAGAATGCAATGACTTAAATTTGCATAACGACTTTACCCTTGTTTACTGTGTTTTTCCTGGTAAGCTCTCATAACTGACCCTATATTAACAGGGTCAGTTAAAGCTGTTTTACAGGGGCAGCAAGCCAAAAACTGAGCATGAGCAGAAGAGAAAATTTTGACCTGCCAATCAAAACTCATCCTACCAGTACTTCTGCCAGCTGGCTCTCACTAATCCCTTAAAATTTACCTCAAATCCTGGATTGGGAAGACAGATTTGAGAGCCTTGCCTCCTGTCTCCTTGCCAGTCGACCTGGCAATAAAGCATTTTCTTTTCTCAAAAGCTGGTGCTGTGATTTTGGCTTTTTATGTGCAATGAGCAGTGGGCCTTCTTGCTCAGTAACAGATATCACATTTTGATTATCCATTCATCCATCAATGGACATTTGGGTTGTTTCTACCTTTCAGCTATTGTGAATAATGCTGCTAGGGACATGGGTGTACAAATATTGTTTGAGTCCCTGCTTTTAATTCTTTTGGGTATATAACCAGAAGCCCAGCTCTACTTTTAAAGCTCCTTTCCCTCCCAGTGTCCCTGGAGGCTAGGCTGCCTACTGGTATTTGCATCATCCTTTTGTGGCAGTGGCTGCTCACAGCACCCCACAGGGCCACTGCTGGGCAGTTGTTGCAGCTCTTTTCTTCTGGGTCACTGTTCTCTTGAGAATGCTCAGTCCTTCTGATATGGACTCAACACAAGGTTGACATAAGGCAAGCCATATTGTAGGAAAAAAACATATTGTAACTTTGAATGACCTCTGATTAGCTAACCCAGATATGGTCTGTAGATTTTATGGTCCCTCCCAGCTGCTATAAGTTGATAACTTTGTTCTTTTGAGTTCCTTAGGGATGTGATGACCCCTGGGCAGCAAGTCTATGCTGATAGCCATCATCAATGACAACTGAAAGATCAGGGTATAGGTCCTTGTTCCAGTCTCTGATACATATCCAGTAACACAAAAGACTATCAGGAACTAAGACCAGATGTCTGCTCCCACCCAGACCCTTGTTGCCTCCCTCACCCAAAGACCAGCCCCCTATATAAGTGGCTTTGTGCTGTAAGATAGTGCTTTCAGACGTTACTCAGCCATCTTCCCTCTTGCTAGAAAGCTGTAATAAAGTCCTTTCTCTCCTACCTCCTTGCCTCTTGACTATTGGCATGTCTTGTGGTAGGCAGATGACCCCTCCCCCTTGGGGAGTAACACTTCCTTGCAACTCGCCCTCTTGCTCTCCAACCCCCAGCCCTGCCTCTCACCACTTTCTGAATAGGATGCAGCTACATATGACTGAATCCTTGCTGTGGACATGGGTTTGACTTCTTATCCCAGGAGGCTCCTTGGGCCCCATGTAAATCAATTGTTGCAAATAGGGGGTAGGGCAGGGAGAGATTTGTGATAGGAGGTTGTCATTTAATTTCATCTATTTATCATATCCTAATTACAGAGTACCCACAACTCAAGGAAGGGGATTTTTGAGACTTGAAATAAAGTCAAACATACAAAGAAAATCTATTGTGGGAATAAGGATTTATTTTGTGAAGGTGGCAGAAATCACGTAAGTGCTTTCAATTGGAAATAGAAAAAATATGCATAGGGCATTATATTAATGAAAACCTACAGAAAATCAGCGTATATCCAAAACCACAGAAAGTGAAGGCTCTACTACTTGCTGATTGTTCTGATAAAAGCCTTCTGTGGACCTGGACTTGGTTCTGCTGGAGCATGGTTTATAAGGTACTACAAAAGGTACATTGTTTGTACCCTTGGAGTTCTCAGGACCCAGTTCCTTTTTGTCAAGGGATTAGTAGATTAAAACAAATGTCCAGGGGGCCAGCCCGGTGGCGTAGCAGTTAAGTTCGTGCGCTCCGCTTTAGTGGCCCAGGGTTTGCGGGTTCAGATCCCAGGCGTGGACCTACGCACTGGTTATCAAGCCCTGTTGTGGCGGTGCCCCATATAAGGTGGAGGAGGATGGGCATGGGTATTAGCCCAGCGCCAGTCTTCCTCAGCAAAAAAGAGGAGGCTTGGCAACAGATGTTAGCTCAGGGCTAATCTTCCTCAAAAAAAAAAACAACAAAATCGACAAATATTTTAGTGAGTAGTGTTTCTGTTCTAGGCAGTATTTTAAATTAACAGAGAGATGATTGGGGGGGGGGACTGGGCAGGGCATGAGAAAAAAGCAATTACTTTGATTTAAATTTTAACAGAGAAAAGTTCTTCTTTTAGCTAGGGATAAGGCACAGCTTGTAAGGTGGTGGGATGTTGATAAGCCCAGTAACAATGGGTTTGATCTTTATTTCCTTTGGCTCCACCAGGGGCTTCAGGAAAAAGTTTTGTAGCATGGTGGTGAAGGACAGGAACAGCTCCATGCGGGCCAGGCCCTCTCCAATACAGGCCCGTTTCCCTGGAAGGAGGAAACATTTCCATTAGCTCACTCCATGGTCAAATACAATATGCCACTAAAAGTTATTGAAAACACTGATCAGAAAAGGGAATGCTCATAAACTGCTGTAGGACAATAAATTGGCACAGTTTTTCTAGAGAGATATTTGTCAATACATATCGAAATTCTCTAAAGAAATTTTCAGTCTTTTTTTTTTTTTTTTTTTTTTGGTGAGGAAGATCAGCCCTGCGCTAACATCCATGTAAATCCTCCTCTTTTTGCTGAGGAAGACCGGCCCTGAGCTAACATCTATTGCCAATCCTCCTCTTTTTTTTTCCTTTTTCTCCCCAAGGCCCCAGTAGATAGTTGTATGTCATAGTTGCACATCCTTCTAGTTGCTGTATGTGGGACGCCGCCTCAGCATGGCCAGACAAGTGGTGCATCAGTGCGCGCCTGGGATCCGAACCCAGGCCGCCAGTAGCGGAGCGCGTGCACTTAACCACTAAGCCACGGGGCCAGCCCAAATTTTCACTCTTTAATTCAGGAATTCTCCTTCTGGGTATTCATCTGTAGGCACTAGAGACTCACCTCTGAGGATGCCACTTGCATTGTTATTTACGACATGGAAGAGTTAGATGAAAACTAGACATCCATCTACAATGGATTAATTAAATAAATCCTCAAATGCGTCTATCATACAATGCAATCTAAACGTGTTTATATGGAAGATTATTTAATATCACAAGCTGTCTTTTATCACAACATACTAAGTGAAAGCAGGTTATCAAAGAAATTCTACAGAATGAACCAAATTTTATTTTAAAATACACATCTATTATGTATACCTAGACGATTGTTTGAAGTATATACAATAAAATATTAACAGTGATTATCTCTGTAGGGTAAAATTGCTGATAATTTTTATTTTGTTTTCTTTTTTTGCTTTTCTGAATTTTCTATTTTTTGTGTTGAACACTTATTACCATAGTCATTAGAAACAAAACATATTAACTGTTATTTTTGAAAACACTAATCAAATGATTGGATAGGATAACAAGGAAAAAGAATGTGTCTGACCCATCCTAAGTTGTCTTTATGACCTTATAGGAAATAGTCACTGGGAGCCAATGAGCCCCCGTACAGAGGCAAGGGTATGTGGGTTATGAATTTCAGATGCAAGAAAGAGAATGAAGTTGCCAAGGACTCTTTGATGGCCTCCAGCTCTAAGAATCAGAAAATTAATAATGGTTGGTAATTTAAAAAGAAGAAATAAAGTTATACATTTTGTTTTGGAAAAGTCAGTATTACAAAGGGGAGCTCAACAGACAAAAGTTTGCAAAAGCAAGACCTCTTGTCATCCGGTAATGTGTGACATCTGAGTTGGATTGACTTGCTTTGGTTTCTTTAAAAACTGACATTATACCCAGGGCTGGCCCTGTGGCGTATTGGTTAAGTGCGCGCGCTCCACTGCTGGCGGCCCAGGGTTTGGATCCTGGGCGTGCACGGATGCACCGCTTGTCAAGCCATGCTGTGGTGGCCTCCCATATAAAGTGGAGGAAGATGGGCACAGATGTTAGCCCAGGGCCAGTCTTCCTCAGCAAAAAGAGGAGGATTGGCATGGATGTTAGCTCAGGGCTGATCTTCCTCACACACAAAAAAAACCTGACATTATACTCAATCACAAAACAATGAAATCGTCCCTGGATGACTTACCCAATCCTACTGGTATACAGACTTAAATGGCTCCATCCAGATTCGGGGGTTTGTGACAGTTTGATTTGATTGACTTTGCTATCATTAGTGGATTACTTAGTTATGCCATAAATTCAGTGAAGCTGAAAGTTGTCCAAAATGTGCATGAGTATGGTTTGGATGGATTTACTGGCACTTACCAAGGGAAAAAGGCATGAAGTATTCTGTTTTCCTGAAGCTGCCATTTTTATCCAAAAAGTGGTCTGGGTCAATCTTCTCTGAGCTAGGAAACTCCTTGCAATCGAACAAGACAGAAGACAGTAATGGCAATACAGTAGTGCCCTGGAACCAAGAAATGGAGAGTGGAGTCGTACTTTAACATGCTTATCCTTGGTTCATAAACAAGTCTAACAATGATAGTGGATTTAATAGGACTGAGCACTCTTAAGCTTGCCTGGTGAGTGATTGTCTCCAGTTATGGCTACTTTATTTACACTATCATACAATATCTTTTATTGAATAATAATATGGTTCTCTTTGGGAAGAGTGATGTTATGGCCAATGTGTGATAATCAACTGTTGTTGATAAAATGGGGTTTGCAACTTATTTCTCTAGACATGAGCTTTACTGGAAGTGCTGCCTCAAATTGGAAGAGCTTACTTTTTCACAATTTTTTTCTTTCTGAATTCAAGTATGAATGGAAGAAAATGAGATATGAGACCTTGAATGTATTGAATCAAACCCCACTTCTCTCACTTGTAAAACTGAGTGGGGTAAAAAAAACACAGTCTTTCCTCCTTTTTCATAAAAGATTTTTATGAAGCTTAAATGACAAAATAATATGGATAACTACCATTTATGTTGGACACTTCACGTTTACCTGACACTGTGCTTAGCTATTTATAAATCTCATTGAATTCTCACTTCAACCATATCCAGTAGGCTCTCTTTTTGTTCATATTGTATAATGAGGAAATTGCGATTCAGAGAGGAGAAATAACTCACTTGAGGTTATACTGTTAGCAAGTGGCATAGTTAGAATTAGATTCAAGTTCTTTCTAATCACATAAGCTCCTGTTTAAGTGAAAGCTTCCTTTTTCATTTTTACTTTATTCTGTATTTCCTTAAACATTATTTTATAATTATTGGAGTAGGCAATATATGCAAGTGGTATAAAATACAGAAAAGTGTACAAGGTATAAAGTGAAAGTAAATCTCTCTTCACATATTCAAGTCCCCTGCTTCCCTTTTATTTTATTTTTTTTGGTGAGGAAGATTCACCCTGAGCTAACATCCATTGGCAATCTTCCTCTTTTTTTTTTTCTTGAGGAAGACTAGCCCTGAGCTAACATCTTTGCCAGTCTTCCTCCATTTTGTATGTGGGTCACTGCCACAGCATGGCTGAGGAGTGGAAGTAGGTCCGCACCTGGGATCCAAAACCTGAGAACCCTGGCCGTGGAAGTGGAGAGCGTGGAACTTGAACCAGTTGGCCATCGAGCTGGCCCCCCTAGTTCCCTTTTTGATGTAAATCACTGTTACCAGCTTATGCTATATCCTTGGGGAGATATCTTACGGATTGAAAAAAAAGATACACGTATATATCCCCCACTATTTTCAGACAAATAGTAGCATCCTATAGCATTTTGTAGCTTGCTTATTATTCCAATTTATAGAAATAAAGAAATTTTTAGAAGTCCTTTTACACGAACATCCAGGGATTTTCCAATTTTCAAATATCACAAATATTGCTGCAATGAATATTCTTACTTTTGTGAAAATATACATAAAGGATAAATTCCTAGTAGTGGAACTGCTCTTCAAATTGTATATGTGTTTTTTAAAATTTTGATAGATATTGCCACATTGCCTTCCATAGACATTACACTAATTTATACTCCTAGCTAAAATAGATGCTTTTTTATATCCCACCAACATATTATGACAACTAAAAATATGTTTCTTTATAATTTTTATTTTCAATATATTTTATTGTGTGAGTATATTTTTTTTACATTTATTTATTTATTTATTTATTTGTGAGGAGATCAGCCCTGTGCTAACATCTGCCAACCCTCCTTTTTTTTTTTTTTTTTGGTGAGGAAGACTGGCCCTGGGCTAACATCCATGCCCATCTTCCTTCACTTTATATGGAACGCCGCCACAGCATGGCTTGCCAAGCAGTGCGTCAGTGCACGCCCGGGATCCAAACCGGCGAATCCCGGGCCGCCGCAGCCAAGTGCGTGCACTTAACTGCTTGAGCCACCAGGCCATCCCCTATTTTTATACATTTAAAAACCACTTGTAATTACTTTTACTTAAATTTTAGTTTTGTTTCCCTTGCACATATCTGCTGATTTTTGAGTTTGTTCATACTGACTGTAAGAGTTCATTTTTCAGTAGTCTTTTGCTCTAATGAACTATGTAAAACTTCCTCTCAGTTTGTCATTTGTCTTTGTTTCTCTTTCTAGGCAGATTTTTCTTATTTGCATGTAACCAAATTTATCTATTTTTAAATTTATGGCCCTCCTGTTCCTCTTTTCTTTGGTCAATGTTAGAAAGTCTTTTGTCCCTCTGAAATTCTCAAAAAAAATTATTGCTTTTATCCCTAGTGCTTTTACAGTTTAATATTTTACGTGTATATATTTGACCCACCAAGAATAAATTTTCATGTAAGGTGTGAGGTAGGGATCTATTATTATTTTTTTCCAACTCCCTTGTGAGTTTGCCAACCTCTATTGAATAGTCCATATTTTCCCTCTAGGTTACAAGGAAAAAGTCATCTTTATCATGTACTAAGTTTTCATGTATAATTAAGTTTATTTCTAGGCTTTATTCAATTGATCCATCTATTCAAGAAGCTGTATTACCTGGACAAAGAGAACAAATTAGAGGTTACCAGAGGGGAAGGGGGTTTGGGGGTGGGCATAAGGGGTCAAGGATCACATATACATGTGACTGACAAATAATGATGTACAACTGAGATTTCACAATGTTATAAACTCTTATGACACCAATAAAAAAAAAGAAGCTATATTAAACTACTTTAATAAAGTGACTTTATATTACATTTTAATATTTGTTAGGACCTCTCCCTGACTATACTTTAGTTTTTAATTTTCCATATCAAATTTGGGATCTGTTACTTTAGTTCCAAAAAAAAATCTGGTTGATATTTTCATTGAGATCTCATAAATGTATAGATTGATTTGGGGATAACTGCTGTCTTCCTACCCAAACACAAAATAATTCTTTTAATTTATTCAAAACTTTTCTCTCATTAACATTTTAAAGTTTTCTTTCTATAGATCTTGCAAGTTTATTTTTAGGTATTTACTCCTAAGTATTTTATCCTTGTTTTTATTAATGAAAACGTGTCTTCATTATATTTTTAAAAATAGTTTTTGGGGCCGGCCTGGCGGCTTAGTGGTTAAGTGTGCATGCTCTGCTTCAGGGGCCCGGGGTTCATGGGTTCGGATCCCAGGCACACACTTACGCACCACTTGTCAAGCCGTGCTGTCGCGGCATCCCATGTAAAGCAGAGGAAGATGGGCATGGATGTTAGCCCAGGGCCAATCTTCCTCAGCAAAAAGAGGAAGATTGGCATCGGATGTTACCTCAAGGCTAATCTTCCTCACACGCACACAAAAAAAGTTTTGATTTTATATAGGGTGGCAATTGATTTTGTGAAAATAATAAATTTGTACCTAACCACTGAATAATTCTATTTTTGCAATGGTGCTTCAGTTAATTGTCTTCTATTTTCCAGGTACAATTATATCTTCTGTAGATTTGCCTCCTCCTTTTAAATTTTTTATCTCTTATGATCTTTTTCTAATTCTTCTTGAATAATACTAGTAATGGTGGATGGCCTTGTTTTACTCCTGTTATTCATGGGAATGCTTTTGGTCTTTCATCAATAAACATGATTTGGAAAATGTGTTTTCTATGGCTAAAGAGGTATTCATCTACTCCTATTTTATCAACAGTAAAAAAATAAAAATGGATGTTGAATGTTACCAAAAGCATTTTCTGTACAAATGATATTATGATGTGATTTTCCCCTCAATTCTATTTATATGGTGAATTTTATTAATCCAGATTTCCTAGTGTTAGACCATTCCTGTGTTCCTGATTATCTTCAGTGGGTGGTGATGTAGTGTTTTTAATATGATGCTAGACTTATGTGTTAATAGACTTTTGCATTGATATTTGTAAGTAAGATTGAAATACTACAAAACAGGGCCGGCCCTGTGGCTTAGCGGTTAAGTGCATGCTCTCTGATGCTGGCGGCCCGGGTTCGGATCCCGGGCGCACACCGACGCACCGCTTCTCCGGCTACGCTGAGGCCGCGTCCCACATACGGCAACTAGAAAGCTCTGCAACTATGACATACAACTAACTACTGGGGCTTTGGGGTGAAAATAAATAAATAAATCTTTAAAAAAAAAAAAAAAGAAATACTACAAAACAGTATTTCAATTCTGTTTTGTAGTATTTTAATCAGGTTTGGCACCTTAGTTTCCTCTTCTATGCTCTGGAACTGTTTAAATGTACAGCTCAAGCCCTTAATCACTACAGAAGACTGACTGCGTCCCCAGTGTGTATGTAAACGTTTTGGTAAATGCTAAGTGCTCTACAAATGTTAACTGTTAGGGGCAGCAATATCCCAACGGTCCTGGTATGTGAGGTCATGGGAGGAGAGAAATTGGGTTAAAGAAGGTTGACACTTGACTTGCTTACTTTAGAGCTGAAGACACATTTTCCATCTCTTCCTCCTTTTTTTAATTCACCATGAAAAATCAGATTTCAGTTCCTACGAGATTATCACTAATGGAAATCACTGCTCCCTTAATCCATTCTAGATGAGAGTGGAAGGAGGCCTTGGAAGCCCAGGTCAGCCTCCCTGTTCTACCAAGGCAGAGACAGAGCCACAGAGGTGAGAGAATGGCCTGAGGGTGCACTGCATGGCAGTGACAGATTTCAAACCCAGGCCATGTGACTCTAACCTTATGTTCTTTCCATGACTCTCAACTGCATCTCTTCCTGAAACACAACTGAGAAACCTCTCACAGGCCCCACTGAGGTACCATGCTGCCCCTTCTATCTCAGGCAGCTTTCCCTGACACATCTAACCTCGGGGATGACGTATTGCCTGAATTTTGTGTCCCGGGTCACAGCATGGGGTAAATCAGAAGGAAGGAGGGTGACGTATCTTTGTATCTCATGGAACACGGCCTCCGTATAGGGCAGCTTCATCTTGTCCTTCGTGCAGGGGCTTTGGTTGCTTCCAATCACATTTCTTCATGAACTTTGGCTGCAGAGACATGAATCATGAATGCTACTCAAGAGATGTGTTCCCTGGAGAACTGAAGATGACCTGCTTGCAATGTGCAATGGAAAGTGATCTAGAAAAGGCTTCCAAGGTCAAAGACATGTTGCTAAACAGCCCATTGCTCTGCTCCTGCTGTTTTGCTGCAAATACTAGAGACTTTGCTGCAGGAAACATAAAGGCTGGGTTAACTATGTCCTCAGCCTCCTGCCTTAATTGGTTTGTTCTTGTGTACAGGTGACGAGAGGACCTTTGTGGCAGGGGTCATGGCTTATCCTATGATTCCTGGCAAAGCAGCGATAGAGGGAAAACGTTTAATCTTCACTCTATTGGGGCATCTCCTTTGTCAACTTCATCCCTTCTCCTACACGGGAACGGCAAACACCATTTTGTTGAGCAATATAAACACTGGCTTACTAAGGCCTATGCTCTGAGAATGTGCTTGAGAAAACTGAGCTACTTCAATTTCACTTTTGAATTTTAAATTATACCAGAGCTAAAAATCCCCTTTGGGGAGTCTGGTCCATTTTCAAGATAGGAAAACAGAGGCTTTGAAGATGAAATAGCTTGTTGAGGTCACACGGCCAGGTATTGGCAGGCCCAGGACGAGAATTCAGAATGGGAACTCACGTGTCCCTCGTCTAAATAGGGCTCACTCTTTGGCATTGCATCTCATATATGAGTTGGGATTCAGAAGCACCTCTGTTTTTAAACTTAAATGATAGCCTTTGAGTTCTTAAAGTTTTCTCTTCCTTATTAGCATCGTTAGATACAATTCTGACCTACAAAAGCAAAACCACATGGATGACCCTTTGCTTGATGCTGTACAAGGCAGCCCAGAGAAAGCAAAGCAGTCACTGTCAGCAGTATCTTCCCACCCTCATCTAATGCCAGGATCTTTGCAGTACCTCCCACCTCTGGGTGTTTCATTAGGAGAAGGAGTCCATATCTTAGGCTGCTACTGGTTGTCTCTGTTCCTGCTGTAAACAAATTTGATCCACAGGTTGCCAAGTTGTCCAAGTCAAATTCAGACTCTGGGTTGTGTTTCTCCCGTAGATGGTAGAGTTAATGGTACACGAGTTAAAAAGAAGGCAATGGCTTATGGGAGCTCCACAATCACACTCCTTCACTAGTAATAGGCTCCATTTTTTGCATGGTAGTGTAGTGGATAAAAAAAATGGTCATGGAATCAAAACTTCTGGGTTCAAATCCCTGGTTATTCAATGAACAGAGGTGTGTCCCTGGCAAGTTACTTTACCTCTTTAGTCAGTTTCATCATCTGTGAAATTGGGATTAAAAAAATAGAACATACCCCATAGGGTTATTATATAGACTAAAAGAGCAAATGGGTGGAAGCTCTTGGAACAATGCCTCATATATACAAAGACTCAGTGAATGGTATCTTTTTTTATTATATTTAATAAAAACGACTAGATGGTCAGCTCTACATGAGCACGATGTAGAGAAATCACTGGTTCATGACTGGTCTGTTTCCTTCACTCACACAGACTTAGACACTCGTAGCCCCACCCACTCACATATGACATTCATCATTATTAATGCCATGTCTAATATGAAGACTGTCCTTGTAGATGTCAGACATTATGACTCAATTTTTTACAGGGGATCTACAAAATGTTTAGAAAATAAATTGATCCAGGGCTTAAAAATAGCGAGTGAGCTTTCTCTTTTAAAATAATTATACCAAAAATAATAGAGATTAAGTCTTCTTTGTTGATATATCCCCAGCCCTTGGCATAATAACTGGCACTAAGAATTTGTTGAATAAATGAATGTTTAATGAAATAACACTAGTTAAGTTCTATATTTTGCTATAGTTAAATTATTTTCATTGCTGATTATTTTTTGGTGGGCTTTTAATACCATTGGTTTTTAAATTTGAGGAAAGTATTAGGATGCTTGTTTTTAAAACTAGCTTCATTTTTAAAGCTTTGAATCAAGTTTTTCTTCACTCAGGTTCTTTATACCATGTCTCTCCTGTTCATTTCAAAATGGGATGATTTCTGTGTATAGATGTCCAAATTTTTAGGCATATTGTCACTTCCTATGGATAGTCCTTACTGAGTTTATAGGGAATCAAGAATATTGAGCATTGTAAATAACTCTCTCACAACAGAAAGTTTAGTTAGTTTTTAAAAGTCTTTGCTTGTGAAGAGACTTAGGGAGAAAATGGAAATGTTAACATATGTTTTATTTATGTTCTAACTCTGTAATTTAACTAAAGGATGGACTCCACCATTTTATTTAATTCTTAACACAACCCAAATATATTACCAAGTAAGGTTATAGACATTTAATATTAAAACAGAATGGAACAAAACTTATAGGAAAGCAGAAACACTTCAGAAATTTCTACCCATCTTCTACTGATAGCTGTCTTACAGGAAAATAGACATGGAGAGTAGGAGAAGGAGGAATGGTTAAAATCCGGACATTGGCATTGCAACTTTCCTTTTGTTCCTTCCTCTAGCCTAGTTCAGTAGATCTCAAGGCTTTGAAATATATGTTAACAACCGCCCATGGTCCCCTTCCAGTGTTTCCTGTAGTGGTGAATAGCCCCAACCTCCATCCAGTTAGGCAAACCAGGAACCTATCTCTTGCATTCCCCAACTCATCACCATTTCCCAACTCATCACCAATACTATTAATTTTACCTCCTGAATATCTCTCAAATCTACCCATTTCTCTTCATTTCCACCACCAGCACCCATGGCTACCATCTCTGCCTTGGGCTACTACAATAGTCTTGTATAGAAGATCCCTGCCAGGATCCCTTTTACTGGTTCAGGTCACCTATCTCCCAGCTGCTATGGCCCAACCTGCAACTTTCTCTGGAGGAGTCCCTTGGGCACTGGAGCCACATTGCCAAGAGATGCCTGGGAGTTGATCAGCTGCCACGTCACCCTCAGGGGCTGCCTATAGCCAGTGACTAATGGGTACAGGGGTACAAAAGTCCAGTCCCTTGCCTTAGGGCATGACAGACTCCACACTGCAATTTATACTCTACAGCCCTCTGTAGGATCAAGCAGAGACTAGACTTTACATGAAACCACACCTATGTTTAACTTTTTCCCCTTCCCTATCCTGTTTCTCACATTCACAAACAAATTTCTCCTGATGGTGCTCTCTTAATAAATCACTTTCATACACATCCCTATTTTATAGGCTCTGCTACCAGGAAACTCACCCTAAGTCAACTCCTAGCTGTTCTCTCTGTATCCACTGTTGACTCTCCAATCTGTCCTCCACATTACCAATACGATCATTCTTAACACAGTGCTTCCACCCTGCAAATGACTTTTACTGATATAAGGATAAAAACTAAACTAATTAATATGGCCTGCCAAGCCCTCCGTGAGTGATCTGCCTGCTGACCTACTGCTGCTTCAGCTTCTCTCTCACTACTCTCCCCTGCTCGTTGCCTGCCAGTCACACTGGCTTTCTTTCTACCTCTCATATTTCCAAGCTTCCTTCTGCCTCAGGGCCTTTGCATATCTTCCTTTCCTGCTTGGTATATTTTTTCTGCTACCTTTACACAGATAATCCCTACTTACCCTTCAGCTCTCAGCTCAATTGTCACCTATGTATGCATGGGTGTCACCTATGTACCATGGATGACTTCTAAGAAGTCCCTTCTTGACTCACATTAGACTAGCATTAGTGTTCCTGCCACATTCTTCCATAGCAACTTGTACTTCCCTATTAGCACTTCATTGTTACTGCTTGTTTTGATGATCTTTGCACTAGACTGTAAGCTCCGTTAAGTCAAGGACTGTATCTTTATTAATCAATAAGTAAATTTATTCAACAAATATTTATTGTACACCTATGCTACCCTAAGCATTGTGCTAGTTGCTTGTGATACAAAGTGTGGAAAATCGACACTGCCCTGGCCCTCTCGGGGTATATGGTGCAGTGGAGAATGTAGAAGTAAATTAAACAAATATTTCTTTAAACTGTGACAAGCACTATGAAGGAAAATTGCAGGATATTATCTGATTCATCATTTTATTCCTTTTCCCAAGCACTATGTCTGATATACAGTAGTGCAAAATACAAATTTTGAATGGTTGAATTAATAGCCTGGCTACATTTTCTTTCTCTTTCCCAGACAAACATCTAGTCCTCTGAGAGTCAACAAAGAACTTTTCCTTCGGAATGAAGAGGATGTTTTGATGCACATCATTGGTGAGTGGAATGAGTTTAAATGCCTCTACTATTCCAGGGAAATTTCTGGAAGTAAAAGGGGCATCAACATGCCTTCTTTAGACATATTTTCTAAGGAAACCAGGCTATCCAAATCAGACCTCCCAGGGCTTAAGAAGACTGAACAAGTTATTATTAATTAAATGTTTGCTATAATTTATACATTTATGATATAGGTGAGTGGCATTTTTCTTTCATTTATATGTATTTAGGGGATCTTTGCATAAATAATGTTAATTTTATAGGGCTGAAAGAATAATTTTCATATTTTAAGTGGTTATATATGTTTTGGCATTTAAATATCTTTTTTACAATCTACTGCTAGTCACAGTCGTGACTGTTTTTCTACTGATGTGCTCATGGACAGTCATGCTGGTATTTATGTTCCATGACATTCTGAGGATGGGTGGCTGTGTGAATATTCGCTATTCAATATTTTTAATACCACCTATGGTTAATATATAATGTATTTGCTTTAGAATCTTTATCCACCACCAATTTCAAATAACAAAATTGTTTCCATGGGAAAATATAGTCAGTTTTTTACAATGTATTGGTCTATGACATGCTATCTGGGAAGCATTGTGGCAAAAATGGCTATGTATGTGTAAATGATGTGTAGAGAAAATGCATGTGTGTTTTATCCACCCCAAGATAAATATATGTTAAGAAACAGGAATTTATATATATATATTTACATGTAAATTTATATATATAATTTACATATATATATAATGTAGCTCATCTTAAATACATATTGGGAACATTTAAGTATTACTGTCCAAGTGTAGAGAGTAAATAGAAATACAAAGGAAAAGAGGGCTTTGGACTATTTTTGAATTTCTCTTATTAATAGTGTACCCCATTGTCATAAAATATCAAGAATTACCTATGTAGTGTGATTATGCTTTCATGCATTTCCATGGAATGACAAAATATAGTTTCAGGGGAAGACACTGAATGCAGTGCCTGCTCCATCTTGCTGAGGAAACAATCAACGTAGTCTTGAGGGTTATTATGATCCAGGGACTCTTGTTGCTCCTTCACTTTTTCCAGAATGAAATTTTTAACACCATTAAGCCTTTTGGCAAATGCTTTGTGCTCTCCAGAGATACGCTATATGAGTGTTGGCCATAGATTGTAAATCTAAAAATGGGGCAAAAATACACCGGAAATTCAGTTTGTGAAGAGAGACCAGAGTTTCTGAGTGGAGCGCCTAACTCTCTGTGTGGTCTGGCCAGGGAGAATCCCTTCCTCCAGCTTCCAAAGAGAAGAGAAGGGAGTATGATCGTCACATACAGGAGAGCAGCCCCTCCCCATCTTCTTGCTCATCCCGTCTTCAGCCAACCCTGGAGTCATAGAGGGAGAAATGTGCATAACGGCCTTAAAAGAAACAGAGGCAACTGGGAATGTTCTGTCTCTTTTGTGTGAGTTATCCCATGGAGGCAAGCAGAGGACAACCTTCCACAGGTGCTGGAATAAGTGACATTGAACTCATTCACTCGACAAACACGGAGGGAAGGTGATATTGCTCACATTGGCACTCTGCTGATGGAGTAGTCAGGGGAGCTCATAGCCCTTTACTCTACCTGCACACTACCAGTGGACCAGTGAGATCAACCGCAAGTGCAAATGGCCATACCTGGTTCCACAGAGAGCTTATTCGCTTAAAACTTTCAATTAGCAAATATATCAGGGAGAGGAACATCTCATTCTTGTACTGGAAACGCTCACTGAAGAGGATGGTGCAGATCACATTGCAGGGAGCACAGGTGAGGATGAAGATAGGGTCCAAGGGCTGAGCTGACGTGAGAACAGAACAACTCTAACATTTAGATTTATCATCAGCCTGCATCAGGATTTCAAGAACAAGGCCTCCCTCCTGCCCGGATTTATACATATAGTTTAATTCCTCAAAACTTTCCCAAATTAGGATGTGAGCATCTTCTAATAATACTAATACTCTATGCTATATAGTATTATATTATGTTCCTAATAATATTTATTATGTTATTATATGAACACTATAATAGTCATAAGAGGAACAAGTAACTTTATGGAGCATTTACTACATGCTGGATACTGTGTAAATGTTTTGCAAAATATGTTATTTAACCCTCAAGCTGAAGTTTGATTTTTAGCCTCATTTTTCAGATGAGGAAACTGTATCCTAGAGAAGTTAAGGAACTTATCCAAATTTACACACCCAGTAAATGCTGAAGTTGGGAAAAGGATCCAAACAAAAGGATTTGAGAGTCCTAACTGATAGCTTTGGGTCATTTTTTTCCCACCCGCTTTTTCCTAGGCAACTCGCTGATTAATAGAGCAGATCGTGGACCATAGAGTGACTCCCAAAGGAGGAGCTCTGATTGGGGGTGGTGTGTGCAGGACATCCCCTTGCCCCCAAAGGGATGGTCAATGGAATTCACCCTCCATTTTTCTGAGCTCCTCCACCAGGCACTGGGCTTCCTCCTGGATCCTATCTTCGATGCTTCTCTTCCCCATCCCAAAGTTCCTCAGGGTCATGTGGGAGAAGCGCTGCATTTGCTTCCATGTCTCTCCATTACTGAAGAGGATTCCTAGGGGAAGAAGCAAAGAGTAGGAAAGTAGTTTGTATCATGGAGTCAGAGTTTCCCTAAAGCTGATTTCTTGTGTCTACACTCAACTGTTTCCAGTGCCCCCTATTGGGGATTCAGCAACTGGCAATTTAAGAGCATAACATATTCTGTGGTTTGGGTGAAATATTTGTCACAAAGAAAATGAAACCCAAGCTCTGGTCCACAGAGATGATGGAATTGGGCAGGCGGGAATCATTGGCAGGTGGAGAATATTCCCAAGTATGGGAAAGGCCCTCTGTCTGGTTTTGTTAAAAATGGTCAAAAATGGCATGTGTGCTCACACACCCCTTTCCTGAGTGTCTGTTTTCACATTTAACATCCCCCTAACTTGTGGTTTAGTTCTATATGTGATTTTCTCCGTTAGAGGATAAGCTTTGAAGCAACTTCAAAGCAGATCAATATGGGATTTATGTTTCTATTCTTTTCCAAATTTACTACAGCTAATGTTAGCCTAATCTGAAGAAAAAGAAACTAAGGAGCAAAGGAACTCAGTATGATCCACACCAGTGCTTCTTAATTTCTTCCTCTGTACAACACCAGCTACGTATTCTGAATTTCCTGTTTCTCTTAATGCAGCATCAGTGTCCTACTGCCCCAAATCAGAGTCTCAGGGCATCTTCACATCCATCTTGGCCTTCGCCCTGTGCCTTGGCATTTGGTAAGCCCTGTCGATTCCATCTCCAAAATGTCTTTCTCATCTGCCCCTTTTTGTCAATTCATACTATACTACCACATTTCAGGTTCTAACATTTTTAGAAATCTAAAAAGTTATAATCATCTTCAAACCATTTTCCTCTCGCATTCTTTTAAATCTTCAGTTTCCGGATTACTCAAAAGCAAATACTCAAAAAGAATTCAATGGATCCCCAAGGTTTCATTGTGACACCTTTAAACTCTCAACCTTCCCACCATTTTTTCCGGGATCTAACTCTGGAAGCTTATGGACCAATCAGAGCTGTTCACTAAATCCTCCTACATTGTTTGACACCTTCATTTTGCTCATTTTCTCCCTTTTGCTTACAAGTCTGCCCCCATCCTATTTGCTTCTTTGAATTTCTAGCTATCTTTTAAGAGCCATTCAAAAACCTTCTCCTTGAAGTCTTTCCCGTACTCCTCTACTGGAGGTAATGTCTCCTTCCTTCAACTTGAACTGCCGGTTGTAGTGCTCTAATACAATTTATCTTTTCTACCTTGTATTACAATAATTTGTTTACTTGTATGATTTCCTATACTAGATTTTACTTAAAGTGACTGGCTCACCCCTCCAAATATTTCCTGTGACACATGATCATCTCTTACCTTGCGCAATACATAATAATTTAAATATTCATTTCACGTCTACCAAATTAGCAAGCACTTAAAAATTGTTGTACCTAGAGCAATCAAGCTTGTGCCAAATTCAGTGCATTCATTTAGCCACTTTGCACCTCATGACATATTTTGGAAATTAAAGCAATACTTAACAGCAAAAACTACTAAAATTGTTTGATCCATTAATTGCTCTCCTAAGAATTTCTACAAAGAAATAATTCAACAAAAGGTAAAAAGATGTAAACTTCAATGTCATCTATAGTAATTTAAGAAATTTGTCAACAGTCTAAACGCTAACAATAGGATAATTGCACAATTATGCAATTATAGTAAACCTATATTATGGATAGTTAAGCAACTGTTAAAATGATGATTATGAGAACTGTGTAGAAATATCAGAAATGCTAATAATATATACATATATATATTTTTTGTGTGTGAGGAAGATCAGCCCTGAGCTAACATCCATGCCAATCCTCCTCTTTTTGCTGAGGAAGACTGGCCCTGGGCTAATATCTGTGCCCATCTTCCTCCACTTTATATGGGATGCCTCCACAGCATGGCCTGACAAGTGTTGGGTTGGTGCGCACCCGGGATCCGAACCTGCGAACCCCGGGCCGCCGAAGGGGAGCACGTGCACTTACCTGCTTGCACCACCGGGCTGGCCCGCTAATAATGTTTTAAAAGAAAAAATCAGTACACAAATATTTCTGTATACTATAATTACAACTAGTAAAGTATGTGTGCATATGGACGACATCTGGGAGATAGTACAGAAAAATAAAGATAAATATGTCAGTGTGTTGAGACAGTACACTTCGTGGTTACAGGCCCTGGAACTAGGCTGTCTGAATTCAAATCTTTGCTCCAACATTTTCTAACTTGGGCAAATTATTTAACTTCTATTGCCTCAGCTTTTTCGTCTGTAGAATGAAAATAAAAAATATCTTCCTCATGGGACCATTGTGTTGACTAAATATGGTGATATCTATAAAACTCTTAGTAGCTGGCACACGAGAAGTACTCAATAAATGTTACTCGTGATAATAATAATAATTATTATCATCATCATAATTACTATATTATAATAATATGTTGGATTCTACAATATTGAATTTTAAAAGTATTTTTATCTTTTCAAATTTTTAGTTCTGTTTTCACATTACCTTAAATCAAAGGGCAGTTATAAATTTGGTAAAATATTTAATCCTAAGTTGGACATTTGAATATTGCTATATTTTTTTGCTATTCATTTATTCTTACATTTAGTTAATAAACTTTAATTGATCTTCTATATACCAGGTAGGATTCTAAAAATATTACCACTGTTAACATTCTTGTTTATAATTTTTTTCCACATCTTTGATTATTTCTCAAGATAGGTTTCTAATGGGGAATTGCTCAGTCATTGTAGATGTCTCTTTAGAGAAGTTTGGCTGTTAAGGGGAAAGAAACCTGGGACAGTAACTGAAGACCGTTGTGAGGGGGCACTGTGGAATATCTGCATGCTTCGGGAATGATCCAGTGGAGAGAGAGTTTATCAGTCAGCGTCCAACTGGGAAAACAGAAGCCTCTCTAAATATTTAAAACAGAGGAAACTTAATCCCGGGAATTGGTTTTAAGGTGATGGAAATGCTGAGATGCCAAACCAGAGACAGTGAGACAATGGGAATTATCAAGAGCAGAAAGCTGCTACCAACATCCAGGGGAAGGGACAAAGGGAAGAGTTGGTATCACCTGAGCTCAGTGGCTGGGTTACTTGGCCAGAGCTGGAACCAAAGTGAGCCTGTTCTAAAGGAGCTAGAGCCACAGAGGACCTGTAGCTCGTGGGAGAGATGCCATCTGAGGCGGGGCAGCTGGGGGATGGTGGGGGAATCTCTGGCTTCTCCTCTCCTTCCACTCTCCAACCTCTTGTCAAGGCCTCCCTTTGGCTGACCCCAGTCAGAGCCAGCTGTCAAGCATGGGAGGATGGGAAATGTAGCCTGCAGCATCTGTAACACTGTGGACCAGGGCCAATAAGGGAAGAGGGAGGGTTCTCAGGACAAGCACGGAGAGAAATGGAAAACCCAGGATGGAGAAGGCATTGCCAAAGAAGTAAAATCCCTGGCAAGGTGATATGCTATAGTCCTAGGGCACATGGGGAAATTTTCCCTATCGAGAGAAGGGACACATTTTCAATTGTAACAGAGAAAAAAAGGAGAATATGGGTGTAGAGGCAGAGAGACCTATAGATAAAATTTAAGAAGGTGAGCGAGTTCCTTTCTGATGCTTGTGTTTTCACAATAAGTTATGATACCATGGTTCTGAGAGTGGAAATGCACAATGGGCGTGCTACAAGGAGGAATGAGGAGTCTCTGAGAGTGGAAAAGAAGCCAAATAGAGGATCGTGTGGTATTGAGATTCTAACTGAGGTTTAAAGGTATTAATTTAAAAGGAAGAATTAATTTAAAAGTGAGAATTCCTCTAGCAGTGTTTATCTTCTGTGCACAAGCACAGAGAAGAAGATGGTTGAATTCTTGTGGGGTTGGAGTATACGCCAGGCAAATATGATGGAGGGAGAGCAGGCCGATATATTTTCTAGGGACTGATGATAATAATGAGCTATGTGAAGGGTGCTTTGACTCACTAATGCTGTCAGTTAAAAGTTTATGGTCAAGGCTCTTAACAATATCTATTTCAGAGGAAAATTTGATGTCTTCTATTGCCCTATCCCCAAATTCAAATGCTTTTTGGGAGTCCAAATCTGGGAATATACACAAGAATCTCACACGGAGTAGGCAGTCTCTTCTTTTCTACTAGGGGAGTTCAACTTTGGTCCAGGGTTGTCTGTGACTCAGTGCAGAAGACTCTCTAATTCTTGCTTCCATTTCAGGACCTTGTGGCTCCCACTTAAATCCATATTCTTCAAGTTTTCCCTTATCAGTACAAAGGTGTTTTTCTCTCCAACCTACTCCTTGTGGGCAGATCACGTTTTCTGAAGTGGACCACAACAATATCTCCCATCCCTCAAGGAGAATTAGACTTCCCTTCTTGATGGGAAGTCTAATTCCTCTCTATTTGGATTTGGGTTGGCTTTTGGGAATTGCTCACAATGAACAAAACATGGTTATATAATCTGAGATTTAGTCTGAGGAAGCTTTGCAGCTTCCACTATCTCTCTTGGAATGCTCGCTCTTCAGATGCTCCCCCTCAGGATGCCCCTCCTAGACTTTGGGCACCAGTCAGAAGCCCAAGGCATGTGGAGATGTTCTGTTGACAGTCGAAGCTGAGCTCAGCCTTTGGGTCATCCTTGGCCCAGAAGCAAGACTTGTAAATAAAGACGCCTCCAGATGATTCCAGCCCTTAGCTATTTGAATCACCCTTAGCTGCTCTATTTGGAAAAAATTAGAGGTCTGCTCAGGCCTCAGGCCTTGTGGATCAGAGAAAAGCCACTTCTACTGTGCCCTGTTCACATTCCTGATCCACAGAATCCATGAGCATAAAAAAAATCATTGTTGTTTTACATCCCTGAGTCAGGGAAGGTTTGTTAACTGAAATGTTTTCCTATGTTTACTCACTTTGTTCATAATCTATACTTGTTACGTAAATATATACTTTAAAATATATTTATTTATCTCTACCACACCTGCAGCCTTGCCGGCTAGAGTGTTCCAAGGAAGCAATACCTTCCCCACA